TTTTTTCAGCAATATTATCCCCGATCTAGGTAGTATGAATCTATATCAATGATATTTTTTAGAGCCACATATTGTCTTTGTTTCAGAGCCATCACTGCATACAGTAAAACAAAGACGATGGAGGGCACGTCGAAAACACAAGCTCCACTCAACTCAATTACCAGTACCTCTCCCAACTGTAGAACAAGTTGTAAATAATTTATTTTAATTGTACAATTTTAAAATAAAATCTTTATATTGTTTCTTGATGTTTTTAGATTGAACAAGATTTGTATTTATCAGCTGGTGATAATGAAGATTTTGAAGATAATTTACATATTGATAGTGAAGATTTTGAAAATAACTTACATATTAATGATGATCATTTTGATGATAATTTACATATTGATGATGATAATATTGAAGATAATTTACTTATCGATACTGATAATTTGGAAGATGATTTAATTTATGATAATAACTGTAATTATAATTTAAATCCAGATTTTATTGAATCAAATGGTAGGATAAAGTACTTTATTTTTTATTTTGTTATTTATTTAAAACTATTTGTTTGACATTTTTTGTCATCATCATGTAGTTATCTATGATTCTTGAAGGACGTCTATTTGAGTTTCTGATAAATAATTTCCATATCTTCATAATAAGATTGAATCTCGAAACATTTCCACATTGCTCAAAAACTATTTTGAAGAGGAAGTCACAAGAGTAATTTGTTTTTTTTCCTTTGTTCTAGAACAATGTGTTGAACAAGAATTAGATGAACCATTATATGATGGTGCACCAGTTACATTTATACGTTATCATAAACAAATATTAGAATTCGGAAATTTAGTTAAATTGAACGGTTCCAATATGAACAAATTATTAAAATTGATCGGCAATGCCTTACCAATTGGAAATAAATTAGTAAAATCACATAGAAAGTTGGTTTCAATTTTTCAAGAACGATCGTCATTCAATGAAGTGTTGAGGTGTACAAAATGTTTAGAAATTATTGATAATAATAATTATTGTTCTATAATTTGTGAAAAAAATCAATGTCAACGACGAGTAGGTGATATTATTGAACACATTTCTGTTGATCGGTCTAATAGACAATTGATTGAAATTATTCGTCGAAACAAATACTTAATATTAAGTTATCCACAACTTGTTGATAAATTATTACCATGTGATGTTATGACAGGATTAGTTTATGAAAAGATTATAAAAAATCTTCAAACATCATCCAACAACACGTTCCCCATTACATTAATGCTGCATATAGATAGTACACCTATTGTTCATTGGAATAAAAAACATACGTGGTTAGTAACAGCATCCATTATTGAAATTCCACCACCACTCAGAGAAAATCAATTCAATATTTTATTATTATCTGTATGGTATGTAAAATTTTTTTATTTATCACTGAGTTTTGCTATTTTTTAATCATTTATGTTCGAATAAGCACTGATGTTACTGTTCTTTTCTTTATAGGAATGCACCAGTCAAACCAGATGCAGATTCATTGCTAAAAGAAATTTGTGATACAATTAAACAAACTTTAATTGTTGATGATATTAAATTTTCAGTCGATATATTGTTATTTAAAGCAGATTTACCAGCTCGTGCTTTAGCAACTAAACATGTTCATCACAACGGATACTATGCATGCCTCGAATGTGATCAAGAAGGTGTATGGTGCGAAAAAGCTCGATATGTTATATATCCATACAATCAAAATTCGGTAAATCTTCGTACATCAGAACATATTGATATTTGTGCCAAACTGATTAGTCAGCAATCTTCCGATGATAATTGTTATGGTGTAAGAGGTGTTAGTCCATTAACAAAAATATTAGACATTCCAACCCAAATAGATCTTGATATTATGCATTTATGTTTTATCGGTCATTGCTCTTTGCTGTTATCCAAATGGAAGAAGATGATTGTTAAAGAAGCTTGGTACTCAGGTAATGATTTTTTAAATAGAATCAAATGGCCACATAATTTTAATGTCGAATTGCGCTCACTCTCTGATTGGTCATATTGGAAGGCCCATGACTACCGATCATTTTTTCTCTATCTAATGTTTCCATTTGTCTTTTCATTTCTTCCTGGACATATCTCTTCTCATTTCTCTTTATACTTTGTATTTGTTCGCACCTTGTATTTCTATCATGACTTCAATGAAGTTATGGAAGTTGAACCACTTATAAAATTTTATTGTGAACGTGCATTATCTATTTACGGTTCGACATTTTATTTGTATTCAACACACGCCCATTTACACTTGATAGAAAAAGTCGCTGGTTATGGTGCATTATGCTTTCACAATTGTTTCGGCAATGAAAGTTTTTTTCGTTTTGTTCGTTCTTTGCGATCTGGTAATCGATTGATTGCTCGTCATATTTGTCGTTCATTTGATAAATACCATAGCACAACCAGAGAAGAAACCTTGTCGATCAATAATATTTTTGTTGATGAGAAATTAATACGTGATGATTATCTAGATAGACAGTATATTTCAAAATATCAATCACAATTTCTTGATACAGTCAAAAACGTCATTGATTCAACAGACAATCCTAATGTGTGTTTTTTTTGTCGTGCATCTAGAGGAATTTCTGAATTCCATTCTCTATCATATCGAAGACGTGGTAATACACAAAGTTTTGTTGTATCATTTTATGATGACAAAAAAAACAAATGTTTCGGACAAGTTATATTTTTTTATAAATTATTTGGTGTTTCTTACGCATTTTTGAATATGTATGATATAGTTGTTAGTTATTTTTCTTCAAATAGCTATGTAAACCAGTGGTCTTGTTCTCCAATTGTACCTAAATTTCTCGATAAATATTATACAAAATGTAATCTTTCTGATACAAAGTTTATCTCCATTCCTTTTTCTTCAGTTGCCTATAAGTGTATTGTGATACATATGTTGGATCAAACGTTATTATCTGAGATTTTTTACGACTCAGATCAAAATTGATACAATAATGTTAATCTTTTTTTTCTTGTGAAATATATCATCAAAATATTTTTTGAAAATTTCTGTTTGATTATTCTATTTCATATTTTAATCATCATGTATAATTCTGCTTCACTCAATATTAATGATGAAAATGTCGAACGACAATTATCTCAAGAATATTCGGATAAAACATACCATGGAATGCAACCGGTATCTTTCGTATCGATTCCACAATCAACAATTGATATCAACCATCGTAAGTCACTTTTTTCACACTTTTACTGCTCATAAAATATAAGCCTAATAATTTTTCTTTTAAAATAAGTAACAAAAGCTTTCTTATTTTTTTAGAAGGTTCATCATCATTTCGTGTACATGATCCAAGATTTGATTGTCATCAACCTATTAATCAATGTATTAATCAACCTATTAATCAATGTATT